GCTGAGATGTTTGCAATGCCACTGGATCCAAAGACTTTCTACCCACTGGCCTGGAGTCTTTATATTCTGTGTCATTGCCCCTGTTTCGTGAGTCTGAAGAGGACTTTATAGACTGGTATCGGACAGATGGGCTAGTATCAGACTTATGGACTTGATCTGGACTGGGCTGGGATGTTTTCTCCATGTTCAATTGCTCTTGGATATAAATCTCTTTCTTATACACGTATGTGCGTCCATGGATTTGTTTCTCTAGTCTACCCGGACTCACACAGGCACCATCCTCACAATTGCTCCTGTGCCTGAGCCCATTGTGGCCCCGGGGTCCGTCCGTCTCATAGAGACCCTTCCTCTTTCTCCCTGCCCCTCTACTTGACCAAACATGATGTCCTTTCTAGGCACTGGTCCCTCCTGACGACATGTCCGAAGGACCTGAGGTGAAGCCTTGCCATCCTTGCCCCTAAGGAGCATCTGGCTGCACTTTTTCCAAGACAGATCTGTTTGGTGCTTTGGCAGTCCACCATCTTTTAAATAGCCTTTGCCAGCAGCACTATTCAAATGTATCCATTCCTCTTCGGTCCCCCTTATTCGGGGTCCAACCAAAACACAAGGGCTGGAGGGCCGCCCAGATAATTTATTCAATATTTCTCTCCCCTCGGCCCTGCTGATGCTGCCGAGTGTCCCCCTGTGGGCCAGACCCACCCTGTGGCTAACCACCGACTTAGACCCATTTTGCAGACCAGCAACCGGTGGTCCAGAGACAGGCAGCAACTCCTGGGGCCGTGGGAGTCTTGTAGCCTGGTTCCCTCCAGGGGCTGGGGCCCTCTAATGCTTAGGAGTCTGCCGCCGCCGTGGCCTCACCCACCTTCCCCTGTCCCCTTCTGGGCAGGTGGCCGACATGGAGAACATGACCATCTGGGAGCAGCACACGGCCACACTCAACAAGGTGAGGTCGTCCTTTGCTGCCTGCGGGTCCCCAGGGTGGGGGTGGGGGTGGGGTGGGCTCCCTCTGAGGGCGGAGCGAATGTTCTCCCGTGGCTTGTCCCACCGCAGGACCCCCGCAGGGGCTTTGGCATTGCCATCTCCGGACGCCGAGACCAGTCCGGCAGCTCTGTGGTGGTGGTGTCAGACGTGGTGCCCGGGGGGCCGGCCCAGGGCAGACTGCAGTGAGTGCCAAAGGCGTCGAGGTTCTGGCTGGGGGCTGTAGGCCAGGAGGTAGAACCTGCGTGGCCCAGCGCTTGGCAGGCGGATGGTGCCCGGCACTTGGCGCTCTGTCCATACAGAGCCTAGAGCCAGTAGCAGGACAAAGCAGTGCCTTGGCCCCTGCTCTCTCCCTGCAGCACTTCCTGGTCCTTCCGAACAACCTTCAGAGTCACACTGGCCCTAGCACCCACCTGGGACAGGAAGTCCTGAAAACCTCTTTTTTGGGGGGGAGGTAGGGGGCAGGAAGGGTGGAGACCCCTAGTTCTGATCCCTTGAGAGTAAGGGGTTCCTGGGGCTAACCAAGCAAACTCACTGCCCCTGAGTCAGTACAGACTCACAGCGACCCTGTAGGACAGGCGGAGCTGCGAGACTGTGACTCTTTACGGGAGTAGAAAGCCTCCCCCTCCCCAATCATCTGGTGGTTTCAAACTGTCAACCTTGAGGTTAGCAGCCACTGCTCTGTAACCACTCCGCCACCACGTTCCTTAGAGGGTGGCGGCCGGGCTTTAGGACGGGCCCCTTTTATAGATGAGGAAACTGAGGCCCAGAGGGATGGGTGTCTTCAGGAGCCTGGGGTCAGTGACTTTAGCACGCCCTCCCCCCGCCCCCCGCCCCCACCAACCTAGGGATGCCAAGGGAAGTGGGCAGGGGAGGGGCCCTCTCAGAGAGGCTCCTCCCTCAGACCCAGCCCTCCTCCCTGCTTCCTTTCCTCCGGCAGGACAGGGGACCAAATCGTCATGGTGAACGGGGTCTCCATGGAGAGTGTCACCTCCACTTTCGCCATCCGGATTCTCAAGACCGGCACCACGCTGGCCAACATCGTGAGTGAGCTGCTCGCGGGCCGAGGGGGGGCCGTGCAAAGGCCCGGGGACACGGGCCGTGTGTGGTGCAGGTTGGGCCCTGCCCCTGGTCCCCTGCCCATGCTTCAAGGAGCCAGTAGAATCGTGTCCCCATTTTATAGCCCCAACATTGAGGCCCAGAGAAGGGCCACGGACCTCCCCCCAAACCACCACCAGATGATGGGGCAGGGTCTCCTTGGTCTTTGCTTTGAACCGCCCCCTCCCCGCCTCCTTTTGCAGACGGTGAAGCGACCCCGGACCATCCAGGTGCCAGTCACCAAAGCCAGCCCCTCCAGCCCAGGCCACCAGTACTGGGACAAGGAGGGCGGGACCCGGCAGCTTGAGGACACGGACCACGGCAGGGGCTATGAGGGGGGATCGTCCAGCGGCTCTAGCCACTCCTGGGGCAAGCGCTCCCGCCGGCCGAGGGCTGGCCGCCGCAGCCGGGCGAGCAGCTATGGGCGCAGGAGCCCAAGTGGTGGCTCAGAGGTCAACGGGCTGGACCTGGTGTCCGGCTTCAAGCGGCTCCCACGGCAGGACGTGCTCATGAGACCCCTGAAGTCCACACTGGTGCGGAGGACAGAGAGCGAGGGTGAGGCAGCGAGGCCCGGCTGTGGGACCACACCCAGACCCTGCCTGGGTGCCCTCGCTAGGACCAAAGGGTGTGGTGGTTCCTGGGGGTGTTGACAGATGCTGATCAGCTAGTGGGTAGGGGAGGGTGAGTGGTGGGTGGTTGATTGGTGGTAGGTTGGTTTGGTGGTTTAGTTAGAATTGTTGGGTACTGTTGGTGGTTGGTTGTCTAGTTAGTGGTGGTTAGTGGTTGGTTGCGAATGGTTGGTTGTTGATGGCTGCGTGGTGGTGGTGTCTGGTTGGTGGTGGTGACTGGTGATGGGTGGAGGTGGCTGGTGGTGGGTCAGTGTTTGTTTTGGGTAGGTGGTCGTTGTTGGATGGGTGGTAAGTGGAGAATGGTGGGTGGCTGTTGGTAGATGGTGATGGTGGTGTGTGTGGGTTGGGTGTTAGTGGTGAGTGGTGGTGAGTGGGGGTTGGTTGGTGACGGTGATGGTAGATGGTGGTGAGTGGTTGTTCATGTTAGATGGTGGTTTGCTGGTTGTTAGGGATGGGTGGTAAGTGGTAGGTGATTGCTGGCTGTTGATGAGCGGTGGGTGTTAGCGGTAAAGTGCAGGTGGTTGGTGATGGGTGGTACATGATGGGTGTCTGGTGGGAGTGGTGTCTGGTGGGTGTTTGTTCATGGTAGGTGGTTTTTGATTGGCTGATGATGGGTTGGGGTCGTGGGTTGGTGACTGGTAGTGGTGACTGATGATGGTTACTGGTATCTGCTGTTCTGTTGGTTATGGTAGGTCGGTGGCAGTTGCTGTTTGGGGTGGTGGTGGTGGTTGGAGGTAGTTGTTGGTGCGGGTGGTGGGGGGTGGTGATTGTAGCTGGTTGGTGGTGGGATGGTGGATGTTGGGGGGCGGGGGGCTGGTGGTAGAGGTGGTTGGTGTTGGGGTGGGTGGAGGTTAGGGTTGTTGTTGGTGGTGGGTGTCAGAGTAACCCTGGCTCCTAGGACCAGGGTGTCTAGGCTGGGGACTTTGTGGAAGCAGGTCACAGGGGGGTTTTCCTCACAGGCCACGGGTGGGTTCAGACCAATGACCTTTTGGTTGGCAGCTGAGCGCTTAACTGTTGTGCCACCGGGGCTGCTAGCAGATGAAATTAAATTCAGGGTCTGTGGTGAAGGGGTTGTCCTGGCAGGCAGGTTGAGGACAGGTAAGAAGGCTGAACTTGGGGAGTCCTGCCTCAGATTCCCTCTTCCCTCCGTAGAGTTCGGGGTCAAGCTGGGCAGTCAGATCTTCATCAAGCACATCACAGATTCGGGCCTGGCTGCCCGGAGCAACGGGCTGCAGGAGGGAGACCTTATCCTACAGGTGAGGGTCCAGACAGTAGGTGGCGAGACCTGAGGCCTGAATGGGCAGTGCCACCAAGTCACACAACACGCCAGCAGAAAGGGCCTTGAACCCTTAACTTATGTATCACCCATTTCCCATAGCCTGGAGATGTTGGTTTCTAGTCTCCCCTTGGAGTTGTTGGTTTCTAGTGTCCCCAAGTTCAATGCCGATTCCTGGACCCACCTTAGGTGGTTCTGATGCTGCCCTCCAGCAGGGGCCACCAGGGCGGCGCTCTTCTCTAAATACAAAACCAAACCCGCTACTGTCAAGTCGATTCCAACTCATACTGACCCTGTAGGACAGAGCTGGACAGCTCCACCCGAGGGTCTCCAAGGCCATCAGTCTCGACAGGAGTAGATGGTCTCATCCTTCTCCCACGGAGGGGCTGGTGGGTTCGAACTGTCCACCTTCCACGTTAGCAGCCTAACGCCGAAACAACAGCACCCCAGGGCTCCTTCCTTGATAAGTGGACATTGAATAAGGAAGACCGAAGAGGAGTCCATGTGTTTGAGTGGCGGTGCTGGGGAAGAACGCACCACGGACTGTCCAAAGAGCCACCCGATCCGATCCGTCTTCGGAACAGGCACCGCCAGAGTGCTCCTTACAGGCAAGGGTGGCCACACCTGGTTAACTCACGCACTGTGCACGTGTTGTCGGGAGACCAGTCCCTGGAGAAGGACCTCGTGCTTGGTCAAGTGGAGGAGCGGCGAACAAGAGGAAGGCCCTCCAGGAGATGGAAGGACACAGTGGCCGCCACAATGGCCTCAGACGCAAGAGCCAGACGGGCTCAGACAGTGCAGGACCAGGCAGTGTTGCCTGGTCTATACATCGGCCTGACGGCACCTAACCACAACACCGCCGTCTCTCATGAGCCTTCTTCCTGATCTCGCCCTCAGATCTGCACCCCGGGTCCAGCGCCGTGTAAGAAGTCAAACCATTTCTCGTTGTCTGCTCTTGCTTTCCATACTTCTTGGAAAACTGTCTGTTTCTCCAGACCTCCAGGGGACGGCAGCCAGTTCCACACACTGTAGGCGTCTCCTTGTTGCCACCCGGTGCTGGGGAGCCGATTCTGTCTCGTGGTGCCCCACTGGGACAGAGCAGAACTGCCCCAGAGGGTTGCCTGACCCACCGTCTTTATGGCGGCAGGACGCAAGGTCTTGTCATCTGTGGCATGGGGTGGATGGGGTGGTGGGGTGGTGGCGTTTGAACCATCAATCAACCTTTCAGTTAGTAGCCAGTTGGTGCTTAACGATTGCACTCCCAGGGCTCCTTAACAGTTTCCCAGGGGAGCATCTGCTGTCCCTGGGGATTGTGTACCGAACCCTGATGGCGCTGTAGTCTTGGCATTCGGCTGTTAACTCCAAAGGTGCTGGTTCAAATCCACCAGCTGCTCCTTGGGAGAAAGATGAGGCTGTCTGCTCCTGTAACGATTGCCAGCCTCGGAAACCCACGGGGTTCACTCTGCTCTACCCGCAGGGCCGCCGGGGTCAGAAATGACTCGATGGCAGTGGGTTTTGAGGTCTTTGGGGGTGGTGTTTCTAGTTCCCCCAGACTCACCGAATTATCTGATTCTAGTATCCCCACAGCCCTGTAAGCTTTCCGGAGGAAGGCTTGCTAACGAGCTGCAAATTGCAGATGACACAACCTTGCTTGCTGACAGTGAGGACTCTGGTGAAGGTCAATCCTTGGCTGGTGAAGGTCAAGGATTGTGGCCTTCAGGGTGGATGACCCCTCAATGTAAGGAAGACCCAAATCCTGACCCTGGGCCAAGAGCTGACACGGCAATAAACGGAGGAAAGGTTAACGTTGCCCAGGGTTTCCTCATCCTCGGATCCACAAGCGATGCTCAGGGAAGCAGCCGTCAAGATCAAAAGACGCGTTGTATTGGGTCGATCTGCTGTTGAAAGGCAAGCAAGTTCCTTTGGGGGCTAAGGCGCACATTACCCCAGCCCTGATAGTTTCACTCACCTCCTGTGCATGTGAAAGGCGGGCACTGAAGAAGGAGGACCGAAGAAGCATCCATGGCTTTGAATGACGGTGCCAGAGAAGGATGTAGAAAGTACCCCGGACCCCACCAAAATAACGAACACGTCTGTCTTGGAAGAAGTACGGCCAGAGTGCTTCTTAGAGGCCAGGATGGCGAGACTCGTCTCTTGTATTTCGGATCTGTTATCCGAACCGACCCGTCCCTGGAGAAGGGGCTCATGCTTGGTAAAGTAGAGGGGCAGCGAAACAGAGGCGGGCCCTGGACAGGATAGACGGACACAGTGGCCTCAGATATAATCATTGTGAGGTGGGCGCAGGACCAGGTCCTGGTGTGTTGCGTTGTGCACGGGGGCCGCCCTGAGCTGGAACCGACACCCTGGTACCTAATAACCAGCAGCCAAGTCTCTCGATGGCTCATTAACTCGCCACTTCTTTCCCGTCCCGGCCCCCTGCAGATCAATGGGGTGTCCAGCGAGAACCTGTCGCTGGGTGACACGCGGCGGCTGATCGAGAAGTCGGAGGGCACGCTCACCCTGCTGGTGCTGAGGGACCGCGGGCAGTTCCTGGTGAACATCCCCCCGGCAGTCAGCGACAGCGAGAGCTCTCTCCTGGAGGGTGAGGGCCCAGGAGGCAGCTGGGTGGGGTGGGGTTCATGGATGAAGGGCTCTTGGAGACCTTGGTCTGCTCGTCCCCCCCGAGACTTAAAGAGGGATAGGAACGCACCCAAGGCCTCCGAGCAAGTCGGGGCTGTTTGCTTAGAGGGTCCTCAATGTTCCCCCTCTGTAAAATGGGTCTAGTCTAAAGCCACGCCCTCTGCCCCCCAAACAGACATCTCAGACCTGGCCTCGGAACTGTCTCAGGCGCCACCCTCCCATGTCCCTCCGCCGCCCCGGCACAGGCAGAGGAGCCCCGATTCCAGTGCGCCCTCCTCCCCGGAGTACGTATCCCCTGCGCCCTGAGTGGTAGGGCGGGTGGGATCAGGGGCCCAAAGGGGCGCCCCAGGGTGCAGTCCTGGCCGCCTGTCTGGGAGAGGCCCTCCCTCCGCCCGCCACACAAGAATTCTTGCTCCCCATCACAAGGCTCTGGCGTCTTGGCTGCTGGGAGGCCTAGATTTGAATCTATTTAAAGGACCTGGCTGCTCAGCAGAAGGTCGAGGGTTCAAACCCACCCAGCGGCTCTGAGGGGAAAAAGGCCCGGCAATCTGCTTCTATTCACATGTACAACCTTAAGAAACAAAACCCGAGCCAAATTTGTAACCCGGAAACCCTCCTGGGGGCAGTTGTTCTCTGCCGCACCGATCACTATGAATATGAACCCACTCCATAGCGTCCAACTCCACCGGATGGGGCAAACGGCTAGACGCCGAAGGTTGCTGGTTCGATTCCACTTGTAGGTGCCTTGCAAGAAAGGCCTGGTAACCTGATTTCAGAAAGGCCATGGCCTAGGAGACCCGCTGGGGACAGTTGTACTCTGTACGCGGGGGCGGCTCTGAGCCAGAAATGACAGGGTGGCACCACTGCTCAGAAACCAGAAGGGGCGATGTTGACAGCACGCCTGTCTGCCCTTGCCCTTTGGGGAATTTGACGGGGTATGGAGAGATGGCAGGGCCGACGGTTGTTCAGCATGGTAAGGCTTTAAACTCACCACCACCGAGTCCATGTCAACTCTTAGTGAGCCTATAAGACAATGTAGAACTGCCCCTGTGGGTTAAAGGCTCTAACTCTTCATGGGAGTAGAAAGCCCCATCTTTCTTCAGAGGAGCACATAGTGGTTTCGAACTGCTGGCCTTGTGGATTGCAATGCAACGCGTTACCCACTGCAGGACCAGGGTTCTTACAGTGAAGCTTATGTAAGAGACCAAGCTATGAGGATCAGCTGCGAGGCAGGGCGTGTGGCAGCTAGCCTCGTCTGCGGAACAGACATTTCCAAAACCTCTGGGCTGCACCCTGCACTTACTGCACGGTTCCTTCCCCCACCCCCTGCTTGGTTTCCCTCCAGGGAGAGAACCCGGCCCCTGCACCAGCGCTCCGTGGATTCCAGGGCCGTCTCAGAACCAGGTGAGGGGCAGCTTGGGGCTGCACTCTGATTTTTCTGAGCCTGCTCTCTGAGGCTGAGCAAGGGTTGGGACCGAGCCCCAGGTAGGGTTTTCCTGAGAAACAGAACCATCGAGAGTTTGTGGTGAAGCACTTCACTGCGGATGGAAAGGGTGCACTGCGGATGAAAGGCCTGCCCGCCTGCTTCCCACGAGTCAGCCCTGAAACCCCTGAGGAGCACACCTCCACTCACCTGAAGCCAAGATCTACCCACTGAAGACAGCTGATGGCACTTGGTTTGCTATTTATATATGCATGGATATATATGCATATTCATATTTCTATATACTCAACTCACTGGCTAGTTGTTACATATGCATATATATTCATATATATAACTGAGTATATAGACATACATACAATTCTGACAGAGCAACCCTCTAGGACAGTGTAGAACTGCCCCTGTGGGTTTCTGAGACTAATTGTTGACAGGAGTAGATAGCCTGGTCTGCGTTTTGTTTTTTTTTAAATCATTTTATTGGGGGTTCTTACAGCTCTTATCACAATCCAGACATACATCAATTGTATCAAACACATTTGTACATATGTTGCCACCGTCATTTTCAAAACATTTTCTTTCTGCGTGAGCCTTTGGTATCGGCTCCTCTTTTTTCCCCTCCTCCCCCCCCCCCCCTCCTGGACCCTCGACAAATCATAAATGATTATTCTCATGTCTTACACGGTTCGCTGTCTCCCTTCCCCCACGTTTCTGTTGTTCGTCCCCCTGTGAGGTGGAGGTGGGGTTATACGTCAATCATTGGAATCAGTTTCCCCTTTCTCCCTCTTCTCCCCCCACCTCCCCCCTACCGTCATGGTATCGCTACTCTCATTATTGGTCCTGAAGGGTTTATCCGTCCTGCATTCTGTGTGTCGAGAGCTCTTATCTGTACCAGTGTACCTGCTCCGGTCTAAAAATAGCCCCGTCTTTCTCCCTCAAGCAGCTGGTGGTTTTGAACTGCACAGCCTGTGGGTCACGGTGCCAAGAGTAACCAACCATTACACCACTGGGCTCCTTTTGTACACACACACGTATATATGTATACACACGTGTGTGTGTGTGTGTGTGTGTGTGTGTGTGTAAAGACCTTCCACAAGACAGACTGACAGTGGCTGCAATAACGGGCTCAAACACACCAGCACTGAGACAGGCACAGCGCCAGGCAGGGTTTCAGTCTGTTGTACTCCGGGTCATTATGGGTCAGAACTGTCTCAATGGCCCCCACAATTACACACACACACACACACACACACACACACGCTCTTATATATGTGGGGGCTTCAAACGTACATGGAAAAATTCTCCATTAGCTTTTCATTTGAAGCGCCCTCATATACCACATGCATGCCGAACGAAGAAGCTATAAACACACAGGTGGCCTCTGGGTGGTGGCGAAGGGTGTGACAGCTCCACGTTTCTAGCTGAAACGTGGCTGTTTGGACCCTCCCAGAGGCAGGTTGGAAGAAAGGAGACTGGGGGTCTGTTTTGAAAGCCTGTGCTGTTCTGCACACGTGGAGCAAGGAGTCAGAATCAACAGTTAACACCGCGTACATGGATACACTGAACCAATAAGACTTTCCTTGTATACACATGAACTCATACATAAGGAGGTTTCCCAGAGTTCATGGAAAAATGGAATTGGGAGATAATGGAATTGGCAGGCCCCCAAATTAATCTCCACGTACCCTCTAAAGTGTGGGGGCTCAACTGAGGCAGTGTGCTCAGGGACAAATGGCTCCTCCCTTCCAGACTCCCCCCAGGAGAAGAGCTATGACATCTTCCGGGTGCCCAGCAGCCAGAGCATGGAGGACCATGGGTATGTCCCTGCCCCAAGCCCGAGGCCCCCCCATCCCAGGATTCTCTGCTTACAATCTGGTGTCTCCCTGTCTTTCTGCATCAGTGTGCACAGTAGAGCCACCATGTGGGGCTGATTGGGAAGCAGAGGCCAAGGAGGGTGGGCTCTCGGGACACCTGGTGGGTTGCCCACGGCATGTCTTTCTAACTCACCCTCTCCTGTCCCAGGTACAGCCCTGATGTGAGGGTGGTGCGTTTCGCCAAGGGGACCAACATCGGGTTGCGACTGGCTGGGGGCAACGATGTGGGCATCTTTGTGTCAGGCGTGCAGGAGGGCAGTGCGGCAGATGGGCAGGGCATCCAGAAGGGGGACCAGATCCTGCAGGTGAGGCATGGGAGGGGATGTAGACAGAGATGATGTAGATCATGGTGATGTAGATGATGATGATGTAGATGATATAATGATGTGGATGGTGCTATAGATAAGATGTAGACGGTATTGATAATGATTTAGATGATAATAGATGATGTAGATGATGACGTGGATGATGTTGTAGATGATGTAAATGATGATATAGATGATGATGTAGATCAGCGGTTCTCAATCTGTGGGGCGCGACCCCCTTGGGGGGTCAAATAACCCTTTCACAAGGGTCAGTCGATTTATAACAGTAGCAAAATGACAGCGATAAAGTAGCAACGAAATTAATTTTATGGTTGGGGGGGGAGTCACCACCACATGAGGAACTGTATGAAAGGGTCGCGGCATGAGGAAGGTTGAGAACCACTGATGTAGGTGATATAGATGGTGATGTAGATGCTATAGGTAATGATGTAGATGATGTAGATCAGCGGTTCTCAACCTGTGGGTCGCGACCCCTTTGGGGGTTGAACGACCCTTTCACAGGAGTTGCCTGATTCCTAACAGTAGCAAAATGACAGTGATAAAGTAGCAATGAAAATGATTTTGTGGTCGGGGGGTCACCACCACATGAGGAACTGTATGAAAGGGTCGCGGCAGGAGGAAGGTTGAGAACTACTGATGTAGGTGATGGTGTGGATGGGGATGGGGATGATGCAGTTGCAGACGCTGGAGATGGGGATATACATGTTTTCTAGATGACAGAGTGGGGATGATGCGTTGCAGATGATGATGTTGACAATGGCAATGTACCTTGTACAGATGATGTAGACGTATCTTACTGGCTCTCTATCCCTGTCACCCCAACCCCAGGGGCACTTCAGCACTGTGATGCTTCCTCATGGCCTGGGCCACGACCTTGCTGAGTCCTGAGCTCCTCGATCGGGTCATGGCCTGGTCATCCATGTCAGTCTTTTCTATCAATACCACGATCTCTTTCTCCATGACGTGACCTTGTCTGGGCATGACCTTGCTGCCTGGGTCAATCTTTTTATCATTGTCACAACCACATTTCCCGTGCGTGACATGACCTTGATGCTAGTGTCACGACCGTGCCTGACCTTGACCTTCTTATCTAAGTCACCAGTATGACCTGATGGTCGGGGTCACGACCTTGATGTTTGAGCTGCCCGTGTCAGCGTCCCGTTGCACCAAGGTGATGCCAGAGTTGCAGCGTAGTCCCCACCCCCCACCCTGGGGCCTGGGAAAACAGCTGGGGTGCACGTGTCCCCCAAAGGATCTCCCACCCCACACCTCCTTCCCACAGGCGAACGACACACCCTTCCGGAACCTGACCCGTGAGGAGGCGGTGCAGTTCCTGCTGGGACTGCCGCCCGGGGAGGAGGTGGAGCTGGTGACGCAGCGGAAGCAAGACAGTGAGTGCGGGTGTGCACGGGTTGTGCACGCGGATGTGCACGGGTTGTGCATGGGCGCGCACCGGCATGTGCGGCCCACCGAACCTCGGGGCCCTCTGCCCCTCCTGGCCTCCTCTCTCCTCCCTCTTCCCTCTGTTCTCCGGCCCCTGAGTGTCCCCCCAGGAGGGTCCCCGGGAGGACTTGGGCCTGGGTGCAGCTCATGGGCCTCCCTCTGCCCCCTGCAGTTTTCCAGAAGATGGTGCAGTCCCGCGTGGGCGACTCCTTCTACATCCGCACCCACTTCGAGATGGAGCCCAGCCCCCCATCCGGCCTGGGCTTCACGCGTGGCGACGTCTTCCACGTGGTGGACACGCTGTTCTCAGGCCCCGCACAGAGCCACACGGGCGGGAAGTACTGGCTGGTGGCCCGCATGGGTCGGGACCATCGCGAGCAGGAGCGGGGGATCATTCCCAACCAGAGCAGGTGGGCACTGCCGGCCCTACCCAACCCCCAACAGCCTCAGTATCCCCCACGGGAATGGGAGTGGGAGTGTCAGGGAGCCGCGGGGGGAGGCATGCAGGGGCAGGGCCCAGGATGTGTGTACATAACCCTCAGGTGCGCTACATGACGTGTTCAATCGGACGCTGTTGAGAGCTTTCTGACCCTTGGCGTCCCTCTTCCCCCTCAGGTAGAGGGTTCTTCTGTACGGTTTAGGCAGTGACCTTTTAGAAGCCGGTCCACAGGCCTGCCTTCCAAGACATCCCTGCGTGGGTTTGAACTCATGCGTTAGACCAGGTTGACGAGAGAAACAAATTCATCGACACTCATGTGTAAGAGAGAGCTTTATATCAAGAAGGGATGCATCGATAAAACATCCCAGTCCAATCCAGATCAAATCCATAATTCCGATGTTAACCCATAGGTCCGATACTAGTCCATAGAGTCCTCTCAGACTCACTCAGTGATGTCGAATGCAGCAGGATCACAGGCTGGTGGGTGGAAATCTTGTGGATCCAGTGGCAGTGGAAGCATCTCTAGGGCTCTGGCTGCCATCAGCGTGGCTCCGTGTGATTTGTCAGCAGGAAGACCAAGACAGAGAGAGAGTGTGCCCACCTCCGGGGAGGAAGAGAGGGAGTTCCCAGCATCCTCATGATTAGGCCATGCCCACAAGACGTCTTCAGGCTGTGACCAGATGGATAGGCTAAACTGTACCCCTTCACTCTTTCATTAAGGTGACATGCAATTGTGTAACTAGCACAGCCACTGATCTGTAGGCTAGTGTGGTTGCTAAGCTCACAGCGACCCCCATGCCCAACAGACGGAAACACTGCCCGCTCCCGCATCATCCTCACCACCCTGTTTAAGTCACTGGGAGAGCCCATCTCCTTGAGGGCCTCCCTCTCTGTCGCTGCCCCTCCACTTTACCAGGCATGATGGCCTTCTCTGGGGACTGGTCCCTCCTGATAACCCGTGCAAAATACAAGACACCAAGTCTCGGCCTTGCCTTTAAGGAGCACTCTGGTTGTACTTCTTCCGAGACAGATCTCTTTGTTCTTCTGGTCGTTTGTGGTCCTCTCAACTCCAAACCCACTCCCATCGAGCCCGTTCTGATTCATGGCCACCCTGGAGGGCAGGGCTGGGGGAGGCTTTTGCAGCCCAAGGGCCATTTGGATATTTAGAACACCGTTGGCTGATCATACTGGTGAGACGTGGAATGAACTCACCCCTCACGGGATGGCTGTAACTGCTTCCCTTTGGCGAGGTGTGCGAGATTAGTGGGTATGGATGACTTCACGGGCTATACGTGGCCCGTGGCGTAGGGGTTACGCGTTGGACTGTGATCAGCGACGTCTGCAGTTTGAAACCACCGTCTGCTCCTCGGAAGAAAGGTGGGGTTTTGTACTCCGATAGGATCACCTGGCGTCGGCATTGACTCTCGATGGCAGTGGAAGGAATATGGCTCACGTGGTGGATGTTTCCCGCCTCTGCCATAGGGCTACCCCAGGAGGTTTACAAGGCTGTGAATCTTTATGGGAGCAAAAAGCCTCATCTTTCTCCCAAAGAGCGGCTGGGGGTGTTCAAACTGCAGACCTTGTGATTGGCGGCCTCAAATGTAACCCTCTGGGTCCCCAGGGCCCAGGGATTGCCTTCCCTGTGGAAGATGACGGGGTGCAGTTCAGCTATGGGCCTCATGGGGGCGCGCTGAGAGTCATCCAGGACCAGCTCCCATCGCGAGCTCCTGGCAGGTTCCCAGAGACTAGCACGTGGGCAGCGCCGCATGGGCCACAGCACCCACCACTCTCCTCTTTCTCCCCAGGGCTGAACAGCTGGCCAGCCTGGAGGCTGCCCAACGGGCCGTGGGGACCCTGCCCGGCACCTCAGCCGCCCCCAACGCGCGGGCTGAGTTCTGGCGACTGCGGGGTCTTCGCCGGGGAACCAAGAAGTCCACGCACCGGAGCCGCGAGGACCTGTCGGCGCTGACCAAGCAGGGCAACTACCCGCCTTACGAGCGCGTGGTGCTGCGAGAAGGTGGAGTAAGGGGGTGGGGTGGGGTGGGGGGCTCAGACAGGCCATCCTGGGCCACGTGGCGCCGTCAAATATCACAATCCCCAACACCCCCTGGGACAGACCTGTGGCCGTGGAACCGGCTGACTCACAGGGACCCCTGTGTGTCAAGAGTAGAATTGTGGTCGTCTGACTTTTCTCGAAGTTGACCACCAGGCCTTTCTTCCTAGCGTATCTCCGTCTGGAAACGTCCCTGAAACCTGTCGACCTGGCTCTACTGGTGTTTGAAATCTTGGTGGCAGAGTTTCATTCGTATTTCACGAAGGGCCTCCCAATAGTCTCAGCCCCTCCACTTTACCGAGCGCCACGTCCCTCTCCAGGGACTGGTCTCTCCTGACAGCATGTCCAAGATACCCAAGACAAAGTCTTGCCCCCTTTGCCTCTAAGGAGCACCTGGCTGTGCTTCTTCTAAGCTAGATTTGTGGGTTCATTTGGCAGCTCGCGGGACTTTCGGTGTGCTTCACCAGCAGGAGCATTCAAATGGGTCCGTTCTTCCGGGGCCTCCATATTCAGAGCTGACCGGGTGGGTGGCCGCCGACCCCAAGAACAACCCAGACATTGTGTCATGTGCGTGGTTGCACCCTGGTTCTGGCGTCGACGTTGACAAATCGGGGAAGATGGGGTGTGGGACACGCCATGACGTCCGTCAGCCCTGAAAGCATGAAGCTGAGCGAAATGAGGGGGCTTTAAGCCCCCCAATACAAGGGGGCTTAAAAAGGCGTGTGGGGAAAATGGAATGAAGAAGAAAAGAACAATGGTTGGCTCTACTTTGAGGTGGCAGCTCTTGCTCCATCGTATTTTGAGTGCCTCCCGACCCGAGTCTCATCTTCCGCCACAAGATCAGATGCCGATGTGCTGCTATGCCCACGGTCCCCACTGGCCAGTTTTGTTCAGGGGAGGATCGCCAGGCTCCCCTTCCAAGTCTGTCTTATTCTGGAAGCTCCGCTGACACCTGTCCACCACGGGCAACCTTGTTGGGATTGAAAACACCGGGACACAGCTTCCAGCATCCCGGCCGCCCGCCGGCCACCGCCCGTCCTACAGACTGTTGGATGCGTGGTGATTGTGCAGAGACGAGGAGGGCTTCAAAACGTTCCTGGGGAAATCTCATTATCTTTTTGCTGGGGTACCGGCCCCCCACAGCCGAACGGGTCCTTAGGAGCAGCTCGGCGGTGGCAGAAGATGATACGGTCGGACAAAGCAGGGCACAGGGCCTCCTCCCCATGTCGGGACCAAGAGAGCAAATGGATTTTCCCTTGGGTGTATCTAATCGTGGGGCTTGCAGACACGTAATAGGGTGAACATGCCATAAAGTAAATGGGCAATAAAATAAGCAGGTAATAGAATGAGCCAGTGGCGTAACCTTATGTGTCCTTGAGCTCCCCCCCCCCCAAGGGCACAGTTTATGATTTGTATCTGAAAGAGATGTCAGAAGAGAGTTAGCTACTCTTTAGGGTGGGGCGGGCAATAGAATCTCATTGCTCCTTAACTACAGATAACAAACATTCAGGCATATAATGAGCAGCCAGGTGCAGGTATGAAGCATCTTTTATGACAGCTCCTTTATGGAGGGCTGTTATAGGGACTATTTTCGGCCTGGAGAATGAGTATTTGATGACACCTCAGAACAATGGAGATTTTTCTCTAAGTAGAGCTGGTTTTCTGGGCCCGTAGTTATGAGCGCATGAATAAGGCCAGGTAGACATTTCCAAGCCCTCGTTTTCCCACACCTTTTTAATTTCAGTTTTCCACAAACACTTTGAAGCCCCCCCGCCCCGTATGGTGTGATCCCAGACATATGAGATGTTCAGCATGGATACATGCAGGGAGACAAGAAGTAGATTCGTGGCTGCACTTGCTGATGAAGGTTGAGGACCGCAGCCTTTGATATGGATTACAACTCTGTCAACCAGCCTCCAACAGCCGAGGGGTCCGTCGGCGCAATTGTACGGCCATCATATATAAAGATCATAGTAAAGTCACAGAAGATAGGAGAGAAGATAAAATCAAGGAGTCAGGCACATTCATGGTAGCATGCTCATCTCCGGGACCGCCATGATTTCAGCAGGCAGGTCCGCGCAGAGAGAGAAAGAGAATATATTTCTTTTTATTTTTCCCAAGGAACTTATTTATTTTGCTGAGCTCAAGATTCACTTGGTTCAACGGGCATTTGAAACACGTCTATTCCAAAATGTACTGATATCACGGATTTCAAATAAGCCTGCAGATTTCCGTGCTCCGGCAGGCAGTTTTCTGGATGCTATCTTTGCCCAATCTACACGAGTAATTCACAACTCCTGGGTTTGAGCCTCTGCAGACCAGTGTCACCAGGTGGTCTGTATAACCTTACCTTCCGTCTGAATAAATAATATGTCATACGGGTACAGGTACACTCTGTATTTCAGACGAAGAGAATGTATTTCTAACCAAGGCTTATATACACTTAGGGGCATGCAAGGCCCCCTGATTACAGGTAACCACATCGTAACAGGAAGGGGCTGTCCAATAGGCATACGCGTGACAGGTAGGGGATGAGCCAGGGGTGTACACACAATAGGAAGGGGAGACACACACTCAATGCAAAGGAAACTAAAATCCTCACAATTGGACCAATCGGTAGCATCCGATAAATGGAGTTAAGACTGAAGTTGTCAAGGATTTTGTCTTGCGTGGATCCACAATCCGTGCTCATGGAAGCAGCAGGCAAGAGAGCAAAGGGTGCATTGCATTGGCTCCATCTGCCGCACAAGACCTCGTTCAAGTGTTGAAAAACAAGGAAGGTACTTTCGGCACTAAGGTGCACCTGACCCAAGATACAGTATTTCGAATCGCCTGTGAAAGTTGGACATTGAATAAGGAAGAGTGAAGAAGAATCGGTGCAGTGCATTGTGGGGCTGGAGAGGAATACCGAAAGTACCATGGACTGCCCAAAGGACACCCTGATCTGTCTTGGAAGGAGTGTTCGATTCCTTGGATGAGAAATACCTCAGGTCCTTGGCTTGGCGAGAGAAAATTCATGTGGAAGCCTCGTTTGTGATCCAAGCGAGTGTTTATAAAGGATAGAGGAATTTGCAGGTTTTACACGGGCACCCTCAGGGCACTTCACAACTGCATGTGGAGACCTGAGAAACTGCAGCCCGGCTGGAAAAGAGGGCGGTGGGTGGGCAATCCCCGATTCTGGCTTTCGGGGGCCCTCCACTGGGAGGCGTGGTCAATGGTACTGGTTGACCCCATTGGCTGAGTTAAGCCCACTTGGCCTAGCTTGCGACCCACCCACCCAGGTGTACTGGCTTCCTGGCTCAAGGGCCTGTGTTTGTCCATGCCCTCTAGCCTTGATTGCCTTCCAACTTCCTGGAAGGCGGGGAGGGAGGCCTTGGCATGGAGAGGGACACCCCCGGTGTCTGCCTCTAGCTACCTAACAGAAATGCAGCCAGAACATGTCTAAGCAAGCAGAGATGGCAAGACTCGGTCTCACGTACTGGTCGGGAGAGACCAGTCCCACAAGAAGGACATCGTGCTCGGCAAAGTCGAGGGGCAGCGCAGAGGAAGGTCCTCGATGAGGTGGATGGATGCCCTGGCCACAGCAGGGAGCTCAAGCCTGACAGCGTTTGTGGTGACGGTGCAGGATCGAGCGGGACCTCATTCTGTTGTGCACAAGGTCACTGGGAGTCAGCACCCACTCAGTGGCACCCAACAGTGACGGGTGGGGCCCAGAGAGCTGGGGAGCGGCTGCTGCTGGCTGGGGGCCTCTGGCAGCTGGCGAGGATGTTCTGGAACTCGACAGGGGTCTTGGTGCTGAGTGCCACACGACTGTGCCCTTGGAGCGGCTCACGGCGTCTGTTTGGGTCAAGTGCGTTTTAACACACACACGAGATAGGTGCAAAACCCAGCACACAGCTCCGTTTCCCTGAGCTCCTGGCTGGGAAGAAAAGACAAGGCCACCTCATCCAGTTTTCAGGAAGGAGGCCAGTTATGTTTTTAACTACAGCCTCGTGGCCCAGGGGATTAAATGCCAGGTGTCCAGTCCTTAAAAAGAACCTTCATCCCGCCCCCTCACACACGCCCCTAAGGGAATAGGTTGAGAGCCAAAGAAACCTTAGAATGCTGTTCTCCCGGCTGCACTGCCGGGGGAAACACAAAGGGCCATGGCATTACCTCCCACCCGTGAAAGGGTGGGAATCTGATTGTACCCAGGCACTAAGAGCCAGAGAAAGATCTGGAAGGAGTGGGGCCTTCTGTTGTTAAGTGCCTGTGGTCGATCTCACGCACTGTGGTCTCGAACCGCTGGCGTCTGCAGGGTTTGGGCTGGCCGATTTGGGGAAGTGAATCTCCCCAGGCCCTTCTGAGTCTCCTGGAGTCTGCAGGCTCCTCTGAAACCTGATTGGCTTCACAGCATGAGGGGCTCTGGCTGGGAACTGAACCTGGGTCTCCTGCGTGGCAGGGGAGGACTCGACTCTGGACTCACCCTGTCCTCAAGCTCTGTAGAGGAGTAGATGTGATGCGAGGAGCCCTGGTCACATAGCCGGTTATGCTCGGGCTGCTAATGGGAAAGTCTGAAGTTCAAGCCCGTAGGCTCCTCTGAGGGAGAAACGGGAGGCTATCTGCGCCCACAAAGATCACACCCTCTGGCAACATAACATACGGCAGAACCAGAGACGTTGGCCGGCATGGCATTGGGCACATCTAAGCACAAGACCTCTTAAAGGTGTCGACAAGCAGGGATGTTGCTTAGAGGACAGAGGCGAGCCTGACCCAAGCCACGGTATGTTCAGTCACTGACCTCCCATGTGGGAGAGCTGGACGGGGAATGAGGAGGGTGGGAGCAGCCTCGATGTGTTTGAGGGACGGTGGTGGAGAAGACTATGGAGAGAGATCAAACAGATCTGTCTTGGAGACCCTCTGGGGCCGTTCTCCTCCGTCCTGTCGGGGCCCTGGGATTTGAACTGGATTGGCTGGCGATGGGCTTGGTTTGGGTTGGTTTGGAGATGGAGCCTGGTGGCACCATGGTGAAGTGCTCGGCTGCGACACGAAAGGTCAGCCGTTTTGGAACTTCAGCAACCGCTCTCTGGGCAAGGGATGTGGTCAGCCGCGTCTGGAAAGGTGACAACCTCCGAGACCCTCTGGGGCCATTGGACTCTGTCCCGCGGCGTGGCTGCAAGTCAAAATACTGAATGGAAGCTGTAGCACACCCCCCTCCCAGGGGAGAAAGATAAGGCGCTCGACGCCCGTGAAGAGTTGCGTCCCAGAACCCTCAGTGGCGGCTCGACCCTGCCCTGTAGGGTCACCAGGAGCCAGAATGGACAGGATGGCAGTGAGTTTGAGGGCTGGCTTTTTGATTCAGTTAAGATCTGCTTTAAAGATAAATGAGAATTATCCGTAGTTCACGCAGTGCAAACAGTTAAGCGCTCAGCTACCAGCCCAAAGGTTTGCGTCTGAATTCATCCATAGTCGCTGACAGAGAAAGGCCTGGTGACCTCCTTCCAAGATCAGTCTTGAGAATCATGGAGAGGCGCTCTTCCACGCAGCCCACACACAGGGCCATCACGAGGGCAAATGGACTTAGGGACACTGGAACATCCTATAAACCCCAGACCAAGCCCCGGACCAGAGAGTCGGTTCTGACCCACACCCACTCCATGTAGGGTTTCCGAGAAAGTCCATTTTACTGGGAGGAGACAGCCTCGTCTCTCTTGAGGAGGAGCAGCTGGTGAGTTTGAACCGCCAACCTACTGGTTAGCAGTTCATAGCTTATCCATCAGCACACCAGAGCGCCTTTTAAGGGAATACTCAACTCTAAACCTCACTTCCCTGGAGTCCACGCTGACTCAGAGCGACCTATAGGACAGGGTTGAGCTGCCCCTGTGGGCCTCTGAGCCTGTCACTCTTGATGAGAGTAGAAAGCCTCATCTTTCTCTTTATGACTAATCAACTCTTAGACTCACTGCCACTGAGTGGATCCTGACCCCTAGCAACCCTATAGAGTACAGCTTGGTGTAAAAGGAACCCTGGTGGCACATGGGTTAAGTGCTGGGCTGTGAACCTCCAGGTCAACGGTTCAATCCAGCAGTCGCTAGGGGGCAGAAGAAGGAGGCTGCCTGTTCTTGTAAAGACTGATTGTTTCAGAAACCTTTAGGGAACAGTTCTACCCTATCCTACAGGGTCTCTGCGAATTGGAATAGACTCTCCAGCAACCAATGGGTTAAAAGAAACATTTCTATATCTTTAAGATAGGAACTGAGGAGCCCTGGTGGGGAAAAAAAAATGGTTATGCCTGGGGCTGCTAATCACAGGTCAGCAGTTCAAAGCCACCAGCTGCTCTGAGGGAGAACTCTGAGGTTTCCTGCTCCTGTAAAGATTGACAGCCTTGGAAACTGTCACAGAGACAGTTCTACTCTGTCCTATGGGGTCACTGTGAGTTGAAATCCACTCGATCGCAGCGTTTTTGTTTTGTTTTGATTTTTAATACGTCTCACTTCCGCCCTGCCTTGATGCCTCCTCCCCCCACCTACTTCCTCATCAGTGCCATGGTTTATCAGTTAATCCCGGGGTCAGCAAACTTCCTGTATAAGCCGAAAAGAGATTTCTTTCACAAATCAATGCCACTGTGAGCAGTACGCCTCCCTAGTGCTCATCTGGACCCAGGCTTCTTCCATCTTTATCAGCCTCGTTGGCATGGCCTAAGGGAAAGGAGAAAGGCCGCTGTCCTCAGGGCTGCTCCTTTCCTAGAGGGATACAATTCAGAATGCTAGTCTCAATGCTGCTTGAGTCCCATTGGCCAGGACTGAGTCACATGGCCACAGCTTGCTGCAAGGGATGCTGGGAGATGTAGTCCTTAGCTGCGCAGCTATTAGGACAATGTTGTCGGGTGCCTTTGGAGTGGATTCTGATTCTCAGGGACCCCTTATGCAATAGAACGGAACATAGTTGCAGTCACTGTGTCGATCCATCTTGTCCATAACCTTCCTCTTGTTCACCACCCCTGTACCACGCACGATGTCCTTCTCCACCGCCTGGTCTCTCCTGAGCCCAAAGCGCATGAGGCGAAGTCTCACAGCTTTGCTTCTAAGGAGCATTCTGGCTGGACTCCCCCTGCCCCAAATGCGCCTGTTGTTTGGCCAGTCCGTGGTACATACCCGAAGGTGATGTGGTTGCCAAAACGCTCGCCGCTTGGCCGCAGACGGCGGCCCCTGACTCTTGTCTCTCTGCCCTCAGCGGGCTTCAAGCGCCCCGTGGTGATCCTGGGGCCCGTGGCAGACGTTGCAATGCAGAAGCTGACTGCTGAGCTGCCTGACCAGTTTGCAATCGCAGGTGACAGGCCATGCCCGCCCCGGAGCTCAGGCAGCTTGATAAGGGGGCCTTGGATGACACACCCTGGGGGGGAAACCGAGGCATGGGACCCTGCCCGCCAATCCCTCGGGCAGATGTCACCAGGCAGTGTTGCCCTCTTCCTGCCTCGGTCCACCCTCCAAATCCTCCCTTACTCGTTCACAGCAAGGCAGGGAACAGGCGCCACGGGAGTTGTAACCACTCTTAGCTCTCTCTCAAGGGCAGCGGGGAGCCACAGGGGGCTCTGAGCAGGGGAGGGGCGGGGGGCTGTTTATCTGGGGACCTAAAGCTGCTGGCCACCCCTCCACCCTACAGAGAGCGTGTCCCGGACAGAGGCGCCCTCGAAAATCATTAAACTGGACACTGTGCGGGTAATTGCAGAGAAGGTAAGGGAGGCCTGGCCCTGGGGGGACAGAAGTGGGGCTCTGCTGGCCAGGGCGCCATCCGCCTGGCCTGTGGACGTGAGAGGCTGGGGTCCACGCTGACCCCAGCCTCTTTGTCTCGCCCTCTCGCGCACCCGGATGCCGGCCCAGGACAAGCACGCGCTGCTGGACGTGACCCCCTCGGCGATCGAGCGCCTCAACTACGTGCAGTACTACCCCATCGTG